ATCGCGGAAGCAAATTTGTAGTCCTTATGCCATGGGCATTTCCTTGTCAAGATGGCTCTATCCCATTTTGCCTCGGACCACGCATTGATAGGCTTGTCAAAGAAGGGGACGACGGTCATCCACGGACCGTTTTCGGTATCGCTTCCCCTACCCTGGAATCCGCATGCAGAAGGGTGAATGGGACATGCATAATCATGCCGATGGTCCATGACTCCTGGTTCACTCCCTACACAAGACATGAAATGCAAACGAAATAAAAACGAAATATCGAAATAGTAGAAAAATCGCCTTCATGATGAACTTGACTTCGAAAATTGTTGAACCATCACCAACCATCTTAAAAAATTAAACCGTACACCGTTGACAAAATTCGCTACGCAAAATCATTGCAAAAATAATATGTTCCATTCTGAATTCTCGTCCCTTCAAACAGTTATTTTACAAAAATCTCACTCCCCCACTCTATCGGGCGGACGTGCACTAATCGCTCTTGTCCCCTCCATCTACACTCCCTTCGCCAGATGGACCTTTACCAGATGAACCTCAAACAATTATTTTACAAAAATCTTACTCCCCCACTCTATCGGGCGGGCGTGCACTAATCGCTCTTGTTCCCTCCATCTACACTCCCTTCACCAGATGGACCTTCACCAGATGAACCTTCACCAGATGGACCTTCACCAGATGGACTCAGATCGAGAAGTGCAGCTTCAGCATTCAGTCGAACATTGGAAGGAATGACAAGTCCAGTTGTGAATGGTCTTGTACCACGGACCGGTCTCTCCCAACCAAAACGATCGTGTCAGCATCCTGCCATTGTGTCTGGTCAGTTATTTTCCATCGTTTTTCCCATGCGTTCTCATAAATTTGTTCAAGCGACTTTGCTCTCCCAGTCAGCACCCAATATTCCACTAGCACTTGATTATAATTTTGCGAATTACAATCAACAACCACCCGAGAAAAAGCTTTGCCCACCCAGATTGGCACACCGCTGGACAGATCATCGTCGGAGGGGCAAAGGATAAGAAAAGTGCCCACGTCGACATGCACGAGGGGGTCGAAACTAGTCTTCGGATGATTTTTTCTTCGTCCAACAAACAGGGGTTCCCTGTCGTCGTCGATGTTGACACTGTGAGGAGTAGGTTGTTGATCGATTTCGAGCAGCCGTGGTTGTGGCCAAAAACTTTCTTAAGGTTGCGAGGAAAACCCGTTGGCGATGATCTCATCGCCATGTTTGATAACCTCCTCCCAGTATCACAAAGCTTTTTCTCTCCTACTCACTTCATGGTCATTGTAAGTGCACCACGTCAATCCCCTACTCTCAAGCAACTCGCGAAATCAAACAACACCATTTTTGCCATTCAAATAGTCATTTCGAGGAAGGGGTCGCACATGAGGCGGCTCAAACGACCATGAAGGACCTGCATAGCTTTCATCGGGGTTTTGATTGAACAAAAAAACCGGACCTTCCTCGGGCAACCAGTTGTCATTATCGCAAAACTCCTTGTACAGCATGCCCGGATTATCTCCAACCATCAAAAATTTAAGCAAGTGTGGTTTTGAAATACTGGTAATATCTTATGCAATGTACGGGTCCACTATACTAATCCAATCTTCCATCGTATCGAGGAAAATACATTTGGGAGACTTTTTGTAGGATTGCTCTATGAGCTCGAAGAACTCGTCCATAATGTAAACGTCTACATCTTTCAATTTCTTCGAGAAAACGCTAAAAGTAGCGTCAACGTCGGTATGGGTGTGTCCCACCAGCATGAAACCTATTTCTACCTCTTTGAAAACTCCGAACTGAATCAATAGTGCAGCCATCGCACATATGTACTTGTTCTTGTTTTCCCGCCAACAATTATCTGCTTGAATGCGCAAAAACTGTGGCAGTGGCGTCCCGCTCCTTTGAATTTCGACAAGGGTTCTCATAACACAAGTAGCGATCGTGGTCGAATCGTGTTTGTAATACAGAAACCACGTGTATACATATATACTAGGGTCTCTACCGTGTGCAATGATGCCTGTCAGATTAGTCTTCATCATCATCACGTGCCTAAGCGCTTTCGAGTAGTTCGCTTTACCAATATGGGGGATAGTTGTTTTCTTCTGATCCATGCCGTCCATGATGAGACACAAACGCTCGTTCGGACGAACCATGAAATCAGTTTTCGCTCGACTGTAGTCCAATCTGTGTTCAACTTGCGTCCTTTGGTTTGCTTTTAGATCCTCTCGAGCTTGTTCTCGATCTCGAGGAAGAGCAGCATATTGTATACGTTCCTTCAGTTCATGACAGACGGCGCACTTCGTGGACGTGTTAGATTGCGCGAGGGAAACGTGAAAAAAGTGTCGCCGCCACAGTTTATAAAAGTTGGACTCAGACACGACATCGAGGCCAGCGGCCAGAAAGTCTGATTTGATGGACTCATAAATTGATCTCTTCGTGAAAGCAGTCGGGATTCGAGGCTTCGGTCTGGAAACCCCACCTTGGTTAGCCACCTCATTCGGCATGCTATCCGCATGACACTCGATGAACGTTCTCATGCTGGCAAGCATGGAGACCATTTTATCGGTTGGCCGATATCTTCCCGTCAGGCCATGCTCGGAACGCACGTAGCCATTGTCAAAACGCTTTTTGTAGCTGTAAAATGTATTACGCGAGACACCGAGTACATTGCAGTACGCCCTGACGCACATCGAACGTTCCAACTCCACAGGGCGGACAAGTTTCTGTCCACCCTCATTTACTGTGAAATCCTTAATACTTTTCATCCACCACTCAGCTCGCTCTCCCGGACTCTTACTGTACAGTCCCTATCTAACCTTTCGCACTTCCTCTGGCTACACATCGTAACAACATCGAGCCTTGCAACATGCCATGCCATGCACCATGAGCAGTCTTTTTTCGGACAGAATGTTTCTCGCTCTTTTGTACTGTTCTTTTTCCTCCTAGCGTTCCTATTAGCCATGCTATACCTTCATCTTTCTCCTGGCAGAGGTGCGGGCAAAATCTGCAGTATCACCCTTCTCTCTTCATCACCCCTGCTAGATGCTTCCGACCCAGACTGACTCTCAATTGGAACCGCGTCATCACTTTGCACTTGCGTTGGACTCGTCCGTGCTGTGGAAAGTTCCTCCGAAGAATAGTCGGTGGCAACCAACTTCGTACTACTGGAGGTAGCGGGAAGCAAAGGTCCACTGGAAGAGGACTGTTGTCAAGACGAGTAATCTGTGGCCACCAACCGCTCACTCTCGTCATCAGATGATGCGTAAGAAACACCCATTGGCACGCAACTGCTGTGTGCCGAAGCCGTGGGGTGCACCTCGCGAGGAATGTGGAACTCGATCTGGGAGGAAGACGGTTCTTTGCTCGCGGACGTTGTTGTCAAATCTGTAGGCAGTTGAATGCAACCTCCAAAGCTCTAAGGAAAAGCGATACTCCGTTTTTTGGGGAGAGCTGCAGCGGACTGTTGGAACGGCGAACTGTCCGAAGAGGTCGTCGAAGCCAATTCCAGGTGTTGTAGCTGGTAATGCAAGTCGACGGCCTATTCAGTTGCCATACCCCGGTTCATGTGGCCGTTCGCCGAACCGTCTTTGGCGTCAACATATAACCGCGGGTACAGCGGATGCGATTCCCCTCAGCGTAATCGATTAATCTCTCTTGTGCGGATTGAACGGGTCATTCAAATTCGTGTTCACACCCTGCAAAACAGCAGAGCCAACTGTAAGCAC